TCGTCAATTCGGATCAGAAGGAGATGAATTTGAGCACTATGATATGCCACTTATTTATCCCGATTATTATGGATTTAAAATGCCTACACGAATTTTTCCTTAATTAAGTTTATTTGGTTTAACTTCTTGTTTTATAAATTAGTTCTAACGGATTGAGTTATTTATGAAATGGGTGATCACAACTTTTCTAAACGACCATCAAAAAACAATATTTTTGTAGACCTGCGCAATTGAGCTATTATTTTGTTTGTGCAAAATAAATCTTAATGGCGGCATATCCAATTTATTTATGTTATTCACTAATCGCTGTTTTTTCGTCGTACTGATGTACATTTTTAGCCTGTTGCTGTATGAAATTCGGTACGCGTGTACATATTCTGTATTTTTTTTTAAGCAAAAGTAAATCGCTGTAATTTAAAATAAACGTTAGAAGAAAACTTTATCCTTGGAAATTAAAGTCTAAATCTTGGAAAAACTCAGCAAAAGTGTTTAAGAAAGACGGTTAGCTAAAGATTTTAATGTGATGTTTGCAATCAGCTATATCAAGTCAAATAGAGCATAAATTTTAATGCTTTTCCTAACACCTGTTACGAGTATGTGGCAACCAAAAATCCATTGGACATAGCTGAACATCCAAAAATTGAAACAATTCGTTGTACGTAGCTTTTAAACCAACGCGAAAAGAAAAACCTACATTAACTGGGTCAATACTAATGGAAAAGCTAAACAATTATTTAAATAGGAATATCCTGATAAAAGTGAAAATGCATTTTGTGCATGGATGGATGGTTTTCCGAATTTAAAAAGCGGCACAGTATCCATAGCGTTAGTGATATTGCTTCAATCCTTGCGTTTATTCACAGATTTTGTGCAAAAGCCGATGAGATGAGAATAATTCCTGCTATATTTGGACCATATCTTCTTTGTTATCTTACAGCGTGTTGTTGTGTTCCATCAGCTCTGTGCGATTTGTTCAAAATTCGTATAAAGCTCTCTTTTGATCGTTCCTAGAGGGCATAGTAATGGAAACGCCTTGGATTCGTCTAAAGAGGCTCCTAGCTTTGCCAACTCGTCCGCTTTTTCGTTGCCGAAAATGTTCCTGTGACCGGGAATCAAAATTATGGACAAGTGCATTTGCCATGCGAGTGAGCTTAAAGCCTTCCTTCAGTTGTTAACAACGTTGGAATTAATCTGTGGTGTCGACAAGGCAGGTAATGCCGCCACCTGACCGGTTATATGGTTGCTTTCTGTATCCTCCCTTCGTTATTTAGTAGAACTTCACAGGCCTTTTCTATACCTAGCACTATGGAAATATATGTTGGTGTCGAGATCATTGTAGTATACAATGCTCCGCAATCCATTTGTACCCTTCGGTATAGATAGAGTGAGTATCGTCCTCCCCTACCGTACTTCTTCTCCATTCACGTCTGGAGGGAATGCTCACCTGAAAGTAACTATTGAAATCTATCCTTGAGAGGATATAGTTGAATTTGCTTATATTTATCGGATTCAGGATGGCCTTATTGTTTCCGGCTCCATCCTCCTAATTCCGTAATTCACTGATTCGAATATTCACGAATCATTATATCTAGGGGTAATTACTTTGAAGGGGACAAAATAGATATTCATGAATAAATTTGTAAACTCTTTCTTAAGAAATACAAAATTCGCGATAGATTTTGAACAAACCTCGTACTATGCAGATTGGTCTGCTGCATTCGCAAGTAATTCTGGTTGTACCTCCACCGCGGTTTGCTGATTACCAGGGATGTGCGTTGTCATACGTTTCTCTATGGATTCTCCTGCGGACGAAGTCTACGTACCGTCGTTCGTTTTTTAATAAGATATATTGATATGCTCCTTGGACAATATCTTACTCAGCCTGGCGGATTTTTGCAGCTTTCTATCGATGTGCAGGAAGATTGCCATGAGTCTGCTTTGGCTTTTCTGAGTACTTTTTTGTATTGCTTCTAGATGTATTCATAAGGTTGTCAAACTTTGATCCTATCACTTTCATTGAAGGCTTTTCTCTAGTGGATTCTGAGGTTCCTAAGGTCAATATTCCACCAGGGAGGCGATTTCCTATTTTGAGAACCGTTAATGGTGTAGATTGGTTGAAGAAGGTGGTTAAAACTTTTCTTTAATTCTTCCACCTCTTCATCTAATTCTTCAACCGTATTGATTTTATTTTGATAATTTCTATTTACATAGCTTTTTGTTGCTATCTTGGTGAATTTATCCCACGCTGTTTCCTTAGGGTTTCGAAATTGGAGGGGAATATTTGATTACTCGCGAATGTTGAAGAGTATTCAGGAGTGCTCCAACATGGGTGGTTCCTCGGACACTCTCCAGTCATGGATAGCCTACTGCTTCTCTTGATAGGGTTAGGCCCAAAACTTCCTCCCAACGCGATAAATTTATCGAGCTTGGGCAAACTAAAGTTGGCTTGTCGCCCCTATTACAAAATCTTAAATTGCTATTTAGTATACATATATTGTAAGATCGACTCGAGCCTGTTGTTTGTATTGGAGCTTCCGCATGTGGTGTCTCGCGTTAGCGTCGCAGCGTGTTAGAATGCCCTCCTTGCTGTTCTCCTCTGTTAATCTTGATATAATTACTGGTGACACGTCCCTGTCGTGGACCATGTAAGAAGAAACCAGAAAGAAGTTACCTCTTTCTTCCTCCACCTTTAACACTGTTGTATCTGTTGTGCTATAGGTAGAGCAAAGAAATATGTTTATACCTTTTCTGATGATATTGCTCCTTGGTTTATCTTCGGTTGATCGAGTTCTGTCTCACCAAGGGCTCTTTAATTAATTTGATATCGGTGCTCTTCTTATTTAAGAAGGTTGACAGATTCGCTGTAGCACTTTTCGAGTGCTGCAGATTAATATGCACGTATCTAAGCTTCCGGGGCATCGTGCCGCTTTCTTATTGCGACATCACTTAGCAGCCGTCATCGACCTCTTCTGTGTTGTCTTTGTCAGCCGCTTTGTCGCCTTGGAAGATTTTCAACCTGACCCAGCGGACACCGAAGTTTTTGCTGTCAGCTTTTGCATATGTTCACTAATATTGGCATCTCTAGAGGGCAGCCAAATACGAGCACGAGGCCTCCTTGAAATATCTTTGGTGGGTAGCCCCTAAGGATTCCAAAGAGTCAAACTTCGGATGGGGACCCGCCGGACTGTCAAGCACATAGCTTATCACTAGACCCGGAAATCTGAAGTCGATCCCTACCTATCTCTCTTGTATGGTGCTCGATGAAGAGGAGTTCCCGTCAATGCCAGCCACCTGCAGGCTGCTCTGGCCACATCACTATAGTTCCTTGTTATTGTTGTATTGTTCTGCTCTTGTTTGGGTTTTTTGGGCAGATTTTCCGTCGTTTTATTTTGAGAGCGACTCCTTTCCTGGGAACCTGCCTGCTTACGGGTTTCGACGGGAGGTTCTGTTTGTTTCCTTTTCGGGAAACTTTCATATTCCTCCACTATCTTCTTTTCCCGCTTTATGTCCTCTTCATCAAGTAAGGTTCCAACAGCCTGATCCTTGGCAATCTTACCTAGTATAAAGACTGCCCTCTGGTACCGGCTTTTCCTCACTTGATTCAGAATTTCTTCCTTTTTTTCTTTGGCAGCCAGTGTACTTCGGTTGGTATTCATAGCATTTTTGGAGGTGGATAGTATTTCTTTGGGGTCTGAGGTACTTTCTTTGGTATCGGCTGTGTTTGCTGCTGTCTCCACCGGCGTACTATGGTTGGTACATCCGAGAGCACTCTTAATCGTCTCTTGGCTGGAGGTAAAGAGGGTGTCTTCGTCGGACTCTGTTAGGGGTTCTGGAGTCCTATATTCATGCCAAAGCGCTGGTAGTCAAGGGGTTTGTAGTTGTTGTTTTTGGTTTTTCAGCCGGAAAGGGTTGGTCACTCGTCCGCAAAGCCAGTATGCTCACTGACCATTCAGTCATCAGCACGGATACCTCGACACCTTGGCTTAGGGTGGTGTTGGTGCGGTTGTCCTCACACTTCCACATTAGGAGATAGCCGTAAAACTAAAGGTTTACGAGGTTTGTTCAAAAAGTTTCGCGAATTTTGTATTTCTTAAGAAAGTGTTTGCATATTATATTTATACATGAATATCTATTTTGCCCCCTTCAAAGTAAGCACCCCTAGATATAATGCTATTTATTATATTAAAATAATGGTTTTATAATATAATAGTAATGTATAGACTGCTTACCTGTTATTAAAATATAGTTAAGCCTATAACAAAATCCAAACAGTTGAGCCTATAACAAAATCCATACATACTTATGTATATATGTATGTATTTAGAGCAATTTTAATTTTATTAATCTAGCGATTCGAAAAATCTAGCATTTAGTGTAGGCTACCAGATTGACGTTAGTTACGAAGAAATAAGCTTCAAAATATTCAGTTTGGCGCGAACGTGCGCATCTGCCTTATATTATTTTCTTAGTACTATATTGCAATCGAATTGCCTAGCCTTTGATTGTTAAATTAGGTGATTGTAAAATTTTATACAAGTATAATATAATATTTTACGTTTAACATGCCTTAATACATTTATTGATTGTTAAATTAGGTGATTTAAAATTGTATATAATAAAATATTTTACAGTTAACATGTCTTAGCACAAATTCAGTTTAGTTTACAAAACTACAAAATAACAATACATACAAGTATATTCATTAAAAGCAACGGTTATTTCGGTATTTTCCCGGCACAACACATTCCGATTGGTTGCTTATGTTAATCACGAATTTATAAATTTTATAAAGCACTGAAATTTTTTTGTACATGTAAAAGTAATTATAAGTAGATGATATGGTTGGTATGCACGTTTCAAAATAACTGCAATATTTAATAATAATAAATATTAATATTATTATTAAACAATTTGAAATAAGAAAGCAAACGTATTTTATATTTTATTGCATGTCCATTTTTAATGAAACGTCGATTACAATTGTTTTGGTGATTCAAAAGCTCCGCAAACCAGCATCCACTCTCTCAATTCCTGGCTCGATGAAAACACCTTCTATAGCGAATCGAGAACAGAACTCATCGGGATGCAACGAAGAAGCAGCCGAGGCCCTAGTGGGTATCCACTCCGATTACCCCAGGTATGAAATGTACGTATACCCAACTTTTTTCACTAAGCATATTTAAATATTATATATATTATAGTAATCTTTAGAATTATGTATTATATAATATAATGCATATGTGCGACAACATGTGTATGCAATATATTAAATTTGTGTATGTGTTTATCACCTTTTAAGTTGACCAAAATAATGAACGAAAAATATTTGTGTAATGCTTTTAGAGATATATCTGTTATCTACGTTTTCAGATTCTCTACAATGGTCAGACGCCCTCTTCTCAAATGTACAACTCGTATTTAAAGACTTTCCAGTTTTTTTAATAGTCCATTTGGTACCTTTAGGATGCCTCGTTAGAAAGGCTGATTCAAAAATTTTCTTAAACTGAGCACTCTATTTTCTTATTTCAACGGCACAATGTGACACATTAAGAAGCGCGTCAGTAATCGCAATTGATAATGTTTTAATTAGCAAAATAAACAATTTAAGCGAATTGGTCTTAACCTCATATTTCCGTTATAATGATTCCCACTCCTCTGGTTACCTTTTTCTCATATACCTAATATAAGTATTGTATTAAATTCAAAGCGCAATATATTTTTTGTATTATATTAGTTAAAGGGCCGTTTTCTCAATGTCTGATTAATACTATGCTTAATCGCTGGTAGCTTAAATGGATGATAGCTTTAACTGACAGAACCGTTTACACCAAGTTGTGGTTAACTGACCTACAGATACATAGTTCGATTATTATGAATGCGTGGCGAAAACAGTTCACAAAATATACATTGTTATCACGCAAAACTGCCGCCCACCGACGCAAAACAGTGTACCGAATAAGCTGATACGATCTATCTACTAAAAGCGCAATGCAAATGAACAGTCACCACCGCTTCTACCGTCCGCTTCAGCACACCGTACGGTAGAATATCCGCGAAAATTGGATTTTTTTCGTAAAAACGAGTGAGCTGAGAGTGAGAGAGCAATCTCTTGCAACGCAGGGTTCCCAATCTCGATATTTTGTAATAATTATAATATGAACTTTAATATATTTGAAATAACTCAAAATCACAGTCGAATACACTTATTTATAAATAGTTAAACTATTTTAGTAGTTGGATTTTAGTTTTGAGGATTTCCATTATGAAAAGTATAACTAAAAAACTAAGTGTCTGAAAAATCGTTTATACAAATAGAACAATCACAACATTGGTGAAATGAAAACAAAAGAGAACAACTGATTTCTGCGTTGGAACTACGGGCATAACTTTTGACAAATTTGGTTTGATACGGGCGGTAAGTACGGAAGGGAGGAATGTCGGTGACTGTTTGTGCAATTATATATTTTACAGCTGACAGCGCTTAACCATACATTGATAGCTCAAACATTCACCGAGATTCCTCCCTTCCGTACTTACCTAAAAAACATACGTTACATTTTGAAAATCATAAAATATAATAGTATTTTGTTTTTGAATTTTAATTTAAATATAAATTGATGATTTTCGAAATTTCGGTTGATTTTATATGGTACATATCGGGAACTTGTAAGATAGTTTCGTTCCGAAAATGAATAAAAACCATTCATGTATTACCATGAATTCTCTTATATTACATCTAAACATTTTCGTTATTCTAAGGGGCTTTATGCCTAATATATAGGAATGTGAGGAATACTCATATAGCGGTTCCTGTTAGCACAAAATATGATTGGAACCCATTACGTGTAAATTACGCTCTTCCTTAATTGTTTTTATCATTCTTTATAATTATACACTACATATTTACAGTAGGTAACACATAGTTTTATTAGCTTGCTGATATGAAAAGTAAAATTAAAAAAAGCTTTTAGCTTTATTAATATTTCTTATTAGGAATATTATAAAAAAAGGAAAGTACAAAAGTATTCAAATAAAAAATTGACAAAATCTACTTACGGTATATATAAAAAACAAAACTAGGTGTATATAAAAAACAAATGTTTTCATATCTTTTAAACAGTTATGTGTACGACCACTTTGTAAAGCATTAATTTACTACGAAATATGTTTTCAAGTAATTTTAAGCGAGATATGAATTTACCTATCTGATAATAAGAAAAAAATAGAAGCCGTTAGGGGCAGGACCTTAACGTTACTATTATTTCTCATACTCGGACCGTTTTTACCTTTCTTAGACGTGTCTATCAACCAATTTTTCAGAGTAGGAAGCGAAAAAAAACCATCTTTTTTTTGACACATTGTACATACATATGGTATGCTTTATTTTCTCGTTTAGAAAAACTTTCTATTAATTACAATTAAATTTAAAGGAGAATAGTTTAAATGGCTTATAGTTGTGGCATTGTCTCCCCGGTAAAAACTTTCAAATAATATGCGACATCTGGATGTGAAATATAATATATAATTGAACTTATTGAAGATAAATAATTTAGTGAAATATCGAAACTGCTATACATAGATAGCCAAATAAACCGTTCAAATTATATTTAGAAGCTAAAAAAAAATTGAAAGCGTTGATAACCAATCGCGGAATGGTCGACCGAAGCTCTCGCCGCACAGATGCTCATAGCTCAGACGAGGACCGTATATATCGTCCAAATCGGTATCGGTATGTTTATCGTCAAATACCGGGACCGTGCCGTTCATGCTCGGGTGGCACGCTCTGTGTTCTTGTTCGTAACAGTTCGCTACTACGTATTAAAATTAAATTCATGGTTGCGATAACGCTCGGTTTCAAATGAATATTTACATTATACTCGGAAATTTTAATGTTATTATCTATTTTTTGTATGTCATATGTAAATATATACATATGCAAATGTGCGTAATATAATGTTTTAGAAAAGAAGAAATATTTTTGCACCGCCTATATGAAGCGACAAGAATTTGAGAATGTGATATGAAAGGAAATGCAGAAAATTGTCCGCTTGAGTAGTGTTACCACTGGATGTACCAAATGCCTACCAAATCGTTGGCTAAACCACCAAATTTTCTTATCTTCAAATCATTGGGTTTTATTTCAATTCAGTTTTGGAAAAATATGTACATACAAATAAATCTTAGAGGTCAATTACATTTAGCTTCAACACACCTTTCTTTTCTTCAGGCCAATCGAATATTTTTAACCAATTCCGACAAAATTCATCACTACAAAAGATTGTCAAGCTGTCGAGAACTATCTGAGTGGTCGGCAATCATCCGTACTGTTTCGAGGTCAACAGGGGGTTTCGCAGGGCGGTGTCTTCTCCCCGCTACTGTTTAACTTCTATATTTCGAGACTCCCTCCATCACCAAAGGGTATTTCCGTCACCTCAACTGCAAATGATCGTATGATACTGGCGTCAGGCAATGGAATCGATGGCATGTGTTTGAAAGTAGCCTGACCCTCTCCAATACTAAATCCATAGCGACCACATTAATGAAATAGACGAAGAAGTGAAGACTGGATCTTAATAACACAGTCGATTAAAATTCTGTTTGTCAAAACCCTAAGATTTTGTGCTTTACATATGACAGCCTGTGCCATAGCAGACGAAGAGCTCGAGTTGCGCCGAAAACATAGAGTGACCCTTGCGCAACTTCGTTCTGGATACTATAGCAGGTTAAACTCCGCATGAGTATAACCACCTTTTTGTATGCCCAATAAATCCTACTCATCTAACACCCTTCTGCCTATAGTCTGACCCCGACGAAGCCGCACATTTCCTGGGCCTACCGATTGGTGACTTCGATGACAACCAACTTGATCCTTACCACCTAAGCGGAGATTAGGTAACCGCTACAACAGCATTTAAAAGTTGAAGTCTTCATTCACCTGATGTTGATGTCATTTTGTTCGCTTACTGCGGAAGTTTTAGGTTCTTTATTTTTGCGATAACGCTCGGTCGTATAATATTAACAATTATTTAAAGTAAAACTGAAGTATTTAATTGCCTATGAACTTGCATGAAGTTAAAGAAATGCGCGAATATATCAAATTTTTTACACTCTCGATCTTTATTTCACAGTTATACTTGTATAACTGAATCATAATTATATTTCATGACTATTTTTTAGTTAGTATGAATAGCAAACAAGAAAGTCTGAAAGTCATGTGACTGCAATAGCGACACCAAAAGAGAATTTGCCGATAATGAGCGACCAAAAGAGTCCTCGTCTGAACGTAGTCTAAGAGGTGGATCTTCCAGCACAGAATGTTAGTAAATAGAGAACTCGCAAATTTTAAAAAGTACTAGTTTGAGATTTTCATAAGAGGGAACATCGAAAAATACAACTTCGAAACTTTAGAAATACACCACACAATGACCGAAACGGGAAAAGGCCATAAATAGACACAAATAATGTTCTTACATGAATCATGCGCATGCTGATTTACATTTGCATATAACCAAATAATAATAAATTTTCAATATAAAATAATCTTTCGAATTATATATGAAGATTATTGCTTAAAGCCCCAGAATTTACAATAAAATAAGTAATTATTAGATAAATTCTTCAACACGTTCTCTAATTGCATGAACAAAAGCTAATAGTCAAAGGATACCAATAAAACTGTTGAATAGCATATTTTACTCATATGTTTAGGTTTATTGAATATTCCCTTATTGATGCGTATTTATAGAAATGTGAAAATCACACATAAGTACATTCTTAAATACACGTACCCTGATGCTTGTTTCTTCTGCCCCGCACAATGTCTTTTGTCTACACTTTTTGCTTTTTGCGAGACAGATAGAACGATCGCCGGCAAGGGGCATCCAGGGGTGCACTGCCCCATAATTATTCCAGATATTTTTTTATTAATATAATTTATTTTAAAAACATTTAAATAATTATGAATTATGTGTATTTATATTTTTACGCAAATATTATAATATTATATAAATAAGCCCTAAGATATCATTATTTTTCTATACAAACTAAGCAATATAATAATATGATATAAATCCTCCCTTGAAATGCTTCTTTCCATGGTGGCACGCCATGGAATTAATGGCGAGTTCGCACGGAGACGGGACGGAG